AAATGGTCTTGCTTTAGGTCTCGAACACAACACTGGGAATGATCATGCTGTTTAATCAGCTTCTTGATATGCCACACCTGTCAGGTGGAGGGATTATCTTGGCAAAGGAGAAATACTCACTAACAGGGATGTAAACAAATTTGTGCTCAAAATTTGATTCATGACTCTGGACTCTATACCTGTTAGGCAGGGAGTGCAAATATCCCATGCCTCCCACCACGGGCAATTTTCCAGGGAGAACTTGACAGTGAGGCTGGGGAAGGTGCTAGGGGACGTGTTCACAGTATGGGGTGCCTGGAAGGGACGCAATCGCTCTGGGAAACTTGGAGTGAGGAAGAGGATTGGGTGAGTGTAGTTACATTGGAGACAAATCCTTATTTCTATGAAAGTACCATTTTCATTCACGTCCCATTATCATTAATGCGTTGCTAAGTGAAAGTTTTAACTAAATGGATGTTACAATTTGCCACATAGAGACCAGAGCAGGAGACTACTACAGGTTTACGTTTCATTACATTTCTCTACATGTAACAGTGAGAGGTGTAGTGTCCTATTATATCCACTGAGAAGTGCTGATTCCTAACTTCCTCTGTTCTACCTAGGTTGTGCTATGCACACACCCTCAATGTGAGCACAAGAGACAGGACGCCCGGTGAGGCTCTTCCCTGTGGGATGGTTCCGAGACATCTAGAGAGATTACAAGGTTTCTCCATTGTCCGGGGCCCAGAGGTCATCATTTAGTGAGGTCACAATAAGCAACTGACAACACACCACTCAATCACGACACATTTATGCATTTATAATGGGTGATATCCAAGTATAACTGGATATTTCAGATTCAAATCTCTCTCTTTATATTATTTCTGTCGACTTCCCTGCCCACAGCCCTAGGAATGAGATGCACTGCCTCTAACCCAACTGTACCTTCTCCAGAAGAACAGCTCCCACTCCCTGGATCTCTCACATGGGGGAAAGAGCTATCTCATCCACCAGGCCTCTCTGTCCGACTCTGGAGGCTACCGCTGTTTCCAGGAGGGGTGGCTGAGTGGGGGTTACCTCCTGCAGGTAGATGAGCACAAGAGAGCTGTCAGGTCCAGGCCCAAACCCCGCTGGACCGTACCGGCCTCGGAGCTAGTGGCCCTGTCTCTCTTCTCTTTCTCTGCCTTCATAGTTGTTCTGTGGCTGTTGACATTTGCCAGGCAAGAGTAGAGAGAGGAAGAGGGGTTGGATAGTCGCCTAGGGATAGGGGACCTCACCAATATGTCTTCATCGACTATAAGTCCTTTCTTTTGAAGTTACTATGGCCTATTGAGATTCAGGTTAGTATACAATGAATAAATATGATTGTGAGAAAAGATACGAGCGACTGAATTCTTACATTGTTTGACTGGCTCACGGTAACTTCAGCTCCAAGATAATAGAGAAAATAGGGGTCATATCTCATCAAACACGTAGGTAGACAAACGTATACAGGTATAGCCGGTTTTTCAGAATGTGCCTTGGTTGAGTAAGTTGTGAAACGTTTTGGCAAGTACACGATGTGTAACACGATAATCAAATAAAACAGTTTTATTATTATAATCAACATTTTACAAAACTGACAAAACAGTATCCTTCCCCACCCTAACCCCATCCTTCATTGAATTCTGATACTTGGTCTTATTTGGGTATCATGAAAAAGGGTCATATTCACAAGCTTTAGTTTCACATTTTATAAAATAACGTAACAGTCTGAATAACACTTGGAGTGGGATATAATGGAGAATATAAAACCAACATTTGAGGTACTAATGGCTTGGCGCCACATACAGTCAACAGTTTGATTAAAATTTCAGAATGTTTGTAGTAAAACTAATCTATGAAAGTGCAGTGCATGATTGGTACATGATTGTCTCATCCATCTCCATTGGCCCATGGCTCATGAGTGGTGGGATGCCATTTGTTGAAAGGTCTGAGCCTGTGTCCATGACTGGCATCATACTTGGCACGCCCATGCCCATCTCTCTGGAAGGGGGCACTGCCAGCACCCCAAACTCCACCTCAAAGCTCCCCTTCGCCTCTCCATTCTCACGGCGTATCAGCATCTCGTACTCCCCGAACCGGATCAGGGCCTTATCTGGCAGCTCTGCCCTCTCCAGGAACCCCAGCTCAGACCCATTGACCTTCATGCGTACCTTCTGGCTCAGGTTCTGCACAGAAAATATAATGTCCGGGCTGTTGGAGGTGCGGTAGGCCTGCAGGGACAGCTGCTTGCGGGAGACCCGGGGGTCGGCCAGAGCGAAGGTGCAGGCCTGGGCATCCCTACCCAGCCTCATTGGGTCCTCAGCCTGGTGCTTGTGTCTGGTGTCCAGAGGCAACATGCAGTACAGAGCCCTGGAGGCCTGCTGGGGGTGGTAGAGCTGGATCTGGAGGCAGGTCATCAGCTCCTCTGTTTCCACCGTTTGAGACACCTCCATGATGGGTCTTATGATGGCTGATGCAATTGAAGGGGGGTTGTCTTTCACTTTCAGGTTCACTTGGTCTAAGAGAAAAACAGAGGAATATTCAATTGATTACTTGTTGTTATTCTGGCACTAAATAAGTCTCATTACTAGACAGAGAATAACAGATAGAGGATGTCAGAGGGTGATGGAATGAAAAACACAATTATATTGCTCTATTCCATAGGGAGAATGTTCAGAGTATTTCCATAAAGCAGTTACATTTGTAGTTCTTAGAATTGTGTCAGAATTGCATCAACATTCCACACACCCAGCCTCAGTCACCATTTCCTCTAAAACGTTCACTGGCTTAAAGTAATTCCACTGTGCTATGAAGGTAGCTTAGTGGTTAAGAGCGTTGTGCCAGTAACCGAAAGGTCGCTGGTTCTAATCCCCGAGCCGACTAGGGGAAAAATCTGTCGATGTGCCCTTGAGCAAAGCACTTAACCCTAATTGCTCCTGTAAGTCGCTCTGGATAAAAACGTCTGCTAAATGTAAATGTAGACTTGTTCATACAAGTATATACAGGGAAACAGCTTTGGATAGACTGCTTTTTCGTCAAAGTCTATATTGTCATAGAGAGGTGAAGAACATGTTAGATATCATATCATCTGCTTTTGTCTTCCACACTTATGTTGTTCTTAAGCACTAATAACAATACTAGGCTAGTCTAACATTTGAATGAGAATTACATATCATGACATTCATTCAAACAACAAAACCATTCTGAATGTTCACTTCCAAACTTGCTATTTCTTACCTGTAAAGTTGGGTAGGCTGTAGGATTATTTATTTTGCTCGCAGCGTCTCGAAAGATCAGGCTACAGGATACAGTAGGCTGTCTCCGACCGTTGATTTGCTTTGTTTACTAGAACGCGAACAACTGTTGCCTACTGGCGCACCAAGTGTTGTGTCAACTATAACGGGTATTGGAGGACACTGCCGAGAGCAAAAAAAAAAAAACAGGACGGGGACGATCATTACGTCAGCCAGCAGCACCACACTTGCTTGCCATGATCCTGTTTTAGCACTAGATGGTTAGGGAACGTCTGGTTATGCTTTCACCTTGGCAAGTTCCATGCAACTTCCTTACGATTTTCAGTAACAGGCAGGATCATAAGGCTATTTTATGACGGTGTGAGTACAGTCTATAAAGAAGCAGTATCAATGAAACCAAATAGCTTCTTATTGCTTGCCAAATGAACTGTTCTGGGAAAGGGGGGCTTATTTCAATCATCGACTGCCATCTGTAATCAGCATGCCAAAACAACCCTGAAGCAGTAAAACTAATCTTGGTTGCATGCAACACAGTTCTACAGATAATGGTGATAATAAAGTGAAGAAAAATGTGGCTATATGTGTTAAAATACGGATACCAGGCAAGCTAATATCATAAGTTATACCATTCGAATTAGTTGGTTCGAATAGTAGCATAATCATAATATTATGTACTTGGCTAATAAATAACCTTAACTTGCCAAGGCAGTTTCAAGCTATTCACTGTTTGTTATATTGTAGCTAACTAATTCATGTGACTGATGGTCTGCATCACTTTCCTACTCATGGTGTTAGCTACGCTGTAACAACTTAAAATGCCATTGGTAAATTCACAGGCTAATCAAATAACAATGGTTGTCTAACCAATCAGCTGTGCTAACGCATCTCAGTAGGCGGGGGTTTTCCGTTTCTTAGAACGCGGTGTACACTTTTTTTTTACTATAGTGAATTAGCTAACTGATTGAGGTGAGTGTTTACATTTACATTTTAGTCATTTAGCAGACGCTCTTATCCTACATGTTCATACTGGCCCCCCGTGGGAAACGAACCCACAACCCTGGCGTTGCAAGCGCCATGCTCTACCAACTGAGCTATTCAATCTTTCTGGTCGATAACATTTTTAAATAGCTGCTGTACTAAAACATTTGACGCGAGGTTTATCCTTGTGGAATGTCTACCCGTACGGAAGAATATTCTCAGGTTTTTGCAGTAACAAGCTTTTGGAGTGCCTCTTCTCGGACGTATACACGCGTGTTGGGGGTGGCTAGTAACTAGCTACGCTAACTCATTTGCCAAGCTAGCTACTTTAGGTAGGTAACGTTAGCTAGACAACAAGATATACAATATTCTACGCCGTTTTCTAGGAATGTTTGTTTGTGGTTGCATGAAAGTTGGTTTGCTGAAATAATAAGCTTATCTGCGTTTTCGAAGTTTGAAAACGACCGGTTTCTGGCGAAAGTGGTTAACTAGCATTCTAGATGGCTAGCCGCCTTGATGCCCGATATGTGCACTGCACTTTGTCATGTAAACCTGCTCGCTAGCTAGTCAGATAGCTAGCATCTACAAGTAAGTATTTGATAATATGGTTAGCTAGCTATGTAGTCAAGTTTGAGATACATATCCAGTCAGTAAGTAACTTTAAAGGTTTTGAGTAAATGGGCCAAAAACATTGACTGAATAAGTGGCCCTGGGGAGGGGGGTTGTGCCTAATTGTCTCATCATTGATATTTCCCCCCTCTCACCTCAGGATTTCTACAACACTGCTTCAAGGATGGTCAAGATCTTCATTGGGAACCTCCCTCGAGAGGCTGACAAGGATGAAATTCAGGCATTGTTCTCACAGTACGGTGCCGTCACAGAATGCGCCATCGTCAATAATTTCGCTTTCGTCCACATGGATGACCGTAAGTCTGCCACCAAAGCCATCCGCAGCCTGCACCTCTACAAGCTGCATGGCACGGCGATAAACGTCGGGGCTAGTCACGGGAAGAACCAGGGAGCCGTCAAACTCCACGTGACTAACGTGGAGAAAGGCAACAACGATGAGCTCCGCACTTTGTTCGAGGAGTACGGCACAGTGTCTGAATGTGCGATCGTCAAAAACGTTGCGTTTGTGCACATGGACAACTCAAATGAGGCTTTGGATGCCATCAAGGGATTAGACAACGTGGAATTCCAGGGTAAGATTTATGCTGTTTAAGAAAGTTACACATTTAGAAATGTGGCTACTACTGCTCTTCCACCTAATCATGTTTTTTGGCATTTCTCCCCCTAATAGGGAAACGTATCCATGTCCAGATATCAAAGAGCCGTCCCAGGTATGAGGAGGAAGAAGACTACCCCCCACCCCCACCTGAGAGGGGAGGATACTGGCCCCCCCGTGGGTAGCCACGGGGGGGCCAGATCTCCCACCCCCTAGCTATCTAAGAGGTCGTCACCCACGCCCTCATCACGGGTACCCTGCTCCACCCCCGAGACAAGCTCCTTACCAGAGCGTGCTTATGAGCGCGAGAGGGAGAGCTATGCTGTGGTGGATTACTATGAGAAATACAGGGCTCGACCTGCCCCTCACGACCCATACGAGCGTCGCCCCTTCCCTCCTCCCCCGTCCGCGTACTACGCCAGGGACCGCAGTCCCATTCGTAGAGCCCCTCCTCCCACAATGCCCCCCTCCGGTAACGGTTACTCCTATGAGCGTTCCCGACTCTCCCCCGTCTCTCGGCCCGCGATGTACAGCCTACCCCGTACCAGGGACCCCTACGCCGACAGGTTGCCACCGCCACCACCGGCCCGCTATTACTAAGCAGCGCACACCGGCGCTTGACTCAAGGTGAGAATAGGCCTGCGCTACAAACATTCTAATGGGAAATGGGAGGCGAAGTAGTACCTATCCTCTATATGGAGGGTCCAAGGTCACTCGATGCACTCTTTAGACGGGCTTCATGCCTCAGTTCTGAGTGAGGAATGGTCTGACAGTTGCTCTTCGCTAAACCTCCAGTATAACTGAAATGCTTGAATTGGGAGAAAAAGCATGTGTAAAAGAGTGCTCTGTGACAAATCGTAATTCTTAATCCTCATCTGCACTTCTGGTGTATGGGCAATGATTGAGCTAAACAGAAATCATGTATTGGTAAAGGTGAGGAACTGATATAGAGAATTAATTTCACCATTTAGATTGAAGTATTTCACCAAAGTTGCTAATGAGAATGGAACGATGAATGTAGATCATTCATAAATGAAACACGTGTTCGCTGCGGGTGTAACGGGCGCTTGACTTGTGTGTGGTTTGCTCTCTTTCCAGGTTTATTTATTTCAACAAGATATGCGTCCTCGTCACCGCCGTCGTCTCCTGATGCGCACAGCGATCGTCTGTGGCTGAGCGCATTTCATTATCAGGAGGAATTGTAATGCATGACTTCTCGTCATCTAAAACACTTTTATTACACTCGTATTGTTTTGGCCTTTTTTGTTTTGCATTGTTTTAGTTTTGTGCTTTAGCTACCTTTTTAGTCTCAGGCTCCCAGAAGCCTTTTAGTTGTGCGTTTTTATTTTACGTTCCAATATTTAGTCGCTCTGGGACAATGTAGAAAAGGCATAATAAAACCACTACGACAGACTAGTTGGTTAATTTCTAAATTTTACAAATATTTGCTGATGGTAGCTAGTTACCCCAAGGGTGGATAACATCCTTTTTTGTCATCAGAAGACATGATTTAAATGTAATTTTTTTTCTCCAAAAGATGTTAAATCATCTTATCGCAGATTCTTATATCACAATCAGTGATTCAATGGCGGATGATCAGTTGCTTGTCATTACATTTTAATAATTGAATCGTGATCATGTGAAGGGGGTTATATGCCTGATATAATACATTAAGAATCGTCCTCTACTAATGTCAAATAACGTGGTCATCTCTTGTGTATCGCCTCGACTTCAAGCGCTCAATCGCAATTGAACTATACCTATCTGCCCCTTCACTGACGATTTTATTTATTTCGGTGTCATGGGTTGGATTGATAGGGCTTTATTGTCATGTCCCCAGTTCTCACCATAGTACACTTGGCATGATGGTGTTCTGAGCACCCTTACTCTGGAAGCATCTCTGGAGAGATGTTCTTGGCACAACCTGCAGTAACTTAACCAGGTAAGATGGGAATCGAGATCAGTTGTGGGTTGTATGAAACTTAGGGTTAAACGTGATGAATTTAGGTACACATGAGTCGAGAGGTATTTTCCAATTTAGTACATGAGAATGGCAAATTACCTCTGTTTGCTTGATTTAGGCCAGGCATGGATGGGTAATAGTTTTTTATGTACTTCCTTTCCAAAACTAAATTAGCAATATGGCTGCGTTTAGACAGGCATCCCAATTTTTATATATTTCCCCCACTAATTGGTCTTTTGACCAATCACATCAGATCATTTTCAGAGCTGAGCTGATTGGTCAAAAGACAAATGAGTGAAAAAAAGATCAGATTTGGGCTGCGTGCATAAACGCAGCCTTTGTCAACCAAACGTCTAAAGGGGCAATCTGGGATTCATCAACATTTTGGGACTTTTACATTAATGAGGTATAGGCCTAGCCATTGATTCTTGAAGAATATAACTTAAATGCCTCATGACCTTCAACTGTCCTACCCAAAAATATAAGTTCATCAGAGCCCCACATATAAGCTTGTCTTACTCAATTGTTTGTAAACAAACTGTAGCTTCAAAACATGGTCAAAACTGCAATTTTGTCCTTGTATCATTTGCGCCGTCTATGAATTTCAAAGTGGTTAGCCTACATTTCTCAAGAATCTGTTAACCAAACAAGTGGTGTTTTTCTGTTTTTATCCCAGATTGCACTTTAAACATACAGTGCATTCTGAAAGTATTCAGACCCCTTGACTTTTTCCACATCTTGTTACAGTACTGTCTTATTCTAAAATGGATTAAATTATGTTTTGCCCTCAATCAATCTACACACAATACCCCATAATGACAAGGCGAAAACAGGTTTTTTCGAACATTTTTCAAATTGATAAAAAACAGAAATACCTTAGTATATAGACCCTTTGCTATGAGACTTGAAGTTGAGATCAGGTGCATCCTGTTTCTATTGATCATCCTTGAGATGTTTCTACAACTTGATTGGAGTCCACTTGGTAAATTCAATTGATTGGACATGATTTGGAAAGGCAAAAACCTGTCTATATAAGGTCCCACAGTTGCAGTGCATCTCAGAGCAAAAACCAAGCCGTGAGGTCGAAGGAATTGTCCGTAGAGCTCCGAGACAGGATTGTGTCGAGGCACAGATCTGGGGAAGGGTACCAAACAATTTCTGCAGCATTGAAGGGCCACAAGAACACCGTAGCCTCCATTATTCTTAAATGGAAGAAGTTTGGAACCACCAAGACTCTTCCTAGAGCTGGCCGCCCGGCCAAACTGAGCAATCAGGAGAGAAGGGCCTTGGTCGGGGAGGTGACCAAGAACCCGATGGTCACTCTGACAGAGCTCCAGAGTTCCTCTGTCGAGATGGGAGAACCTTCCAGAAGGACAACCATCTTTGCAGCACTCCACCAATCAGGCCTTTGTGGTAGAGTGGCCAGACGGAAGCCACTCTTCAGTAAAGGGCACATAACAGCCCACTTGGAGTTTGCCGAAAGGCACCTAAAGGACTCTGACCATGAGAAACAAGATTCTCTGGTCTGATGAAACCAAGAATGAACTCTTGCCAAGTGTCACGTTTGGAGGAAACCTGGCACCATCCCTACGGTGAAGCATGGTGGTGGCAGCATCATGCTGTGGGGATGTTTTTCAGCGGCAGGGACTGGGAGACTAGTCGGGATCGAGGGAAAGATGAACGGAGCAAAGTACAGAGAGAACCTTGATGAAAACCTGCTCCAGAGTGCTCAGGACCTTAAGACTGGGGCAAAGGTTCACCTTCAAACAGGACAACAGCCCTAAGCACACAGCCAAGACGGCGCAGGAGTGGCTTCGGAACAAGTCTCTGAATGTCCTTGAGTGGCCCAGCCAGAGCCCGGACTTGAACCCGATCGAACATCTCTGGAGAGACCTGAAAATAGCTGTGCAGCGACTCTCCCCATCCAACCTGACGGAGCTTGAGAGGATCTGCAGAGAAGAATGGGAGAAACTCCCCAAATACAGGTGTGCCAAGCTTGTAGCGTCATACCCAAGAAGACTCGAGGCTGTAATCGCTTTCAAAGGTGCATCAACAAAGTACTGAGCAAAGGGTCTGAATACTTTTGTAAATGTCATATATATATATTTTTTGTAGAACATTTGCAAAAATGTCTAAAAACCTGTATTTGCTTTGTAATTATGGGGTATTGTGGATAGCTTGATGAGGGGAAAAAACTGTTTAATCCAGTTTGTCAAAGGGTCTGAATACTTTCCGAATGCACTGTAAACATGATGTTGGTTGTGGAAATGTTGTTTTGCATCATTGTGAAGGGTTCAGATTTGTTTTAAATATATACAAAGCTTTTTACTGAGTTTAACAATTCATATAAGGAAATCACTCAATTGAAATAAATTCATTAGGCCCTAATCTATGAATTTAACATAACTGGGAATACAGATATGCATCTGTTGTTCACTGATACCTTAAAAAAAGGTAGGGGCGTGGATCAGAAAACCAGTCTGTATCTGGTGTGACCACCATTTGCCTCATGCAGCGCGACACATCTCCTTCGCATAGAGTTGATCAGGCTGTTGATTGTGGCCTGTGAAATGTTGTCCCACTCCTCTTCAATGGCTGTGCAAAGTTGCTGGATATTGGCGGGAACTGGAACACGCTGTCGTAAACGTCGATCCAGAGCATCCCAAACATGCTCAATGGTTGACATGTCTGGAGAGTATGCAGGCCATGGAATAATTGGGACATTTTCAGCTTCCAGGAATTGTGTACAGATCCTTGTGACATGGAGCCGTGAATTATCATGCTGAAACATGAGGTGATGGCGGTGGATGAATGGAACGACAATGGGCTTCAGGATCTCCTCACGGTATCTCTGTGCATTCAAATTACCATTGATAAAATGAAATTGTGTTCGTTGTCCCTAGCTTATGCCTGCCCATACCATAACCCCACCTCCACCTTGACATCAGCAAACATCTAGCCCACAAGACGCCATACACAAGGTCTGCGGTTGTGAGGCCGGTTGGACGTACTGCCAAATTCTCTAAAACGACGTTGGAGGCAGCTTATGGTAGATAAATGAACATTCAGTTCTCTGGCAACAGCTCTAGTTGACATTCCTGCAGTTAGCATGCCAGTTGCACACTCCCTCAAAACTTGAGACATCTGTGGCATTGTGTTGAATGACAAAACTGCACATTTTAGAGTTGTCTTTTATTGTCCCCAGCACAAGGTGTACCTGTGTAATGATCATGCTGTTTTATTAGCTTCTTGATATGACACACCTGTCATGTGCATGGATTATATTGGTAAAGGAGAAATTATCACTAACAGGGAAGTAAACAAATGTGTTCACAACATTTTAGAGAAATATGTGTGTATGGAAAATGTATTGGTTTTTTATTTCAGCTCATGAAACATGGGACCAGCACTTTACATGTTGTGTTTATATGTTTGCTCAGTGTAATTCCATCCATAAGCAAGCAGAGACAAAGTCTTAAGGTCAGCAGGTTCATATTGTTGTGGGGGTGTATTCATTAGTGGACACCAAAGCGAAACATTTTGCAATGAAAATAAGCGTTTCTTATTGGACAAGTTAATGTTACTGAGTCCCTCTCCTTTTCAGACCGTTTGGTTCCTAGTGAATGCACCCCTTCGT